CTAGTCTCATTGTCAGCCTTAGGAAGAAACAAGACTGTTCCAAAAAAAAAAAAACCACACACACACAAAACTAGACAATGAAGATTCCCTTCAAGGGTAACCTTCAAAGTTCCCTTTCTCTCCTTCTCACTATAGTGTGTAGCTGACTCATTCCTTCCTTTGTGGATTCTGTCATCCCAGAGTTTCGTCACTAGGTGGCACTGGTCTTACTTTGAGGGAGAGTAGAGTTTAGCAGCATTTAGAGCGGCTGTTCTTTTCCTGTTGAACAGACAAAAGATGTTACGGTCCAGCTTCTGGACTGGAATGCCATCTGAGCCCTCCCATGACTTTCCAACCTTCATTAGGATCCCAACCTCCAGAGATAATCTCCATCTTGTTCTGAGGAGGCCCAATCAATGTGCTAGTCTGTTAACATTTTCTGCATTAAATTTTCTTCTTACATCCCAGTCTGTAATCCCCCCCATGTGAATTCTCTTGCTCTTCCCCCTCTCCCTCCCCACCTCTCCATCCATCCATCCATCCATCCATCCGTCCATCCGTCCGTCCGTCCGTCCGTCCATCCATCCATCCATCCATCCATCCATCCATCCATCCATCCATCCATCCATCCATCCATCCATCCATCCATCCATCCATCCATCCATCCATTTCCTAAAAGATGGCTGATACACGCTTGATGTTCTGGGTCTACAAAAGTTTATGCGGTACAAATTTGTTCACCACTGAGGTGACGCAGGACCCTTGATCCCCACACACTAATTATGTTTTTTTCTTCCAGGAGGATGCTTGGATCGCCAAGCGTGATGCAGGAGACTTGCTTGCGTAGGAACTAATCCTGCTTCCTGCCTGCAGCTTCGGTGTAATAAGTAAGTGTTTAATAATTGTATGCGAGAAAGCCCACCCTTTACGGGCATCAGCAACACTCAGTGTTCATTCACCTGCTTTCTCCAAAACAAAACAGAAGTAGTGGCTGTAAGAAATTATTCAAAATCTGTAGTGAACAGTGGCATTTTGAGAAGCCAGTTGAATGCCTGCTCTGGGTCTATTAACTTTGCTGTGCATTTCTGAATTTCTGTATGTGTGCGCTTTTTAAAAGTTTATGACCTAGAGAGGTTGCCTAGAAGCCTAACTGCATGCCCTATTCATTCAATGGACATCTTTCCACAACCGCACACACTTAGTCCCACTGTTCTGTGTTGTCAAGTTGGAAGTGACTTATAGCAACCTTATTAGGGGTTTTCAAGGTAACTGAGATATTTCAGATGTGGCGGGGATTTGAACCCTGTTCTCCAGAGGTTTATGACCTAGAGAGGTTGCCTAGAAGCCTAACTGCATGCCCTATTCATTCAATGGACATCTTTCCACAACCGCACACACTTAGTCCCACTGTTCTGTGTTGTCAAGTTGGAAGTGACTTATAGCAACCTTATTAGGGGTTTTCAAGGTAACTGAGATATTTCAGATGTGGCGGGGATTTGAACCCTGTTCTCCAGAGTCCCGGTGCAGGATATTTCAGAAGTGGCGGGGATTTGAACCCTGTTCTTCAGAGTCCCGGTGCATCACTCTATCCACTCCATCACACTGGGAATTCTACCAGCACAATAAAATTTCAGGAGTTATGCAAGTGAAACGGAATGAAAGAACAAAGAAAAGGAAGAATATTCTTGAATACAAAAAAATCCCAGCAACACATCTCTCTTTCTTCACTCGACATTTCCTCAAGAGAGAGCGAGCTTGTAAGGACTCTGCCAGACGTTTTATGGAGCTGTAGGGCAAGGAGAGCCAGACAGACCGATAATTTATTTGTTTTAAATATTTTGACCCTTGCCTTTCTCCTTGAAAAGGACTCAAGATGGTTTACGTCATTAAAAGATAGTATTTATAGTGAGTGTACAAATACCAAAAAAGGATCAAAGAAATAGCATACTAAAAAACACAAGCAACACCCAAACACATTTAAAGGCAACAACGCACAACCATGAATTAAAAAAAAAAAAAACCCACTCAGCCTGCCAGTCATGGAGGGAAAGCTTGCCTGAAGAGAAAGATTTTGGACTGCTTGTGGAAAGACAGCAAAGAGGGGGTCAGCCTGGCCTCCAGTGGGAGGGAGTTCCACAGTCTCTGGGAGCAGTGATGGAGAAGGCCCTCTCCTTTGTCCCTACCAAGGCACCCATGAAGGTGGTGGGACCAAGAGGAAGGCCTCTCCTGACTATTTTGACATTCAAGCAGGGTCATAAAGGAGGTGCAGTCATTGGATGGATGGGGTGGTTGGTTGGTTGGAATATTTCAGCTGTCATTTGGCTTCTCCTTTGGCACTAGCAACTCAGTCTGTTGTTTTACTTTTGAATTTCTCCCTTCTTCCAAAACACTGAACATGTTTTTAACTTTTACAAAGGCTGAATAGGAAATGAATGCTCTTTTGTGGTGTTGCCCCACTCCAGGAGTGAACTGGGGGGAGGGGGTGTCTTTGCTATGCCCCCTAAAGCTCTCAGATTGTACCAATACGCCTGTACGGCTCCATTCGCCTAAAAACATGTGCCTCCTTTTAAGTAACTCAGCCTGTTGCTTCACTGTTTTATGTGCAGTTTAGTGCGACGGCTCATTTCCACTTTTTGCTCTATTTGCAGAAGAAGTCGTTTCCCCGTTAATCCTTAATGAAAGCTAAAATCTGCGATTTGTCTAAGAAGAGAGACAGTGTCCAGTCTTCCATCATCAGGAGATATCTGAAGACCACTCACACATACACACACACCATGGTTTAAACTCTGCTGATGTCAACTAAACTTTCTCGATTCCAATTACGAGTTGTTTGTTTCCTTGATTAGGGGCACCCTGCTATTTGCCAAAGCCCACCCGCTAAAGGAGTTCTCCTCTACAGTGATTACCTAAAGCTTGCACCAAGGGTGGGAAATACATTGTGCCCCTGTCCTCTGCCACCAAATGAAGGTGCCCCTTTACCAAAAGCTGACATTAAGGATGCTAGAGAATCTAAAAGAAAATGAATGATGCTGTGTGCCTTGTTTTAGGCACGATGGATAGGTTCTTCCCCCCTTATGAAAAACAGAAGTGAGCTTCTGTTGAGGGTGGTGATGGAACATATAGAGGAGAGGAACTATCTCACAGACCTTCCAAAACTGCCCATCTCTGGCATGTAACAAGGATGGTGAACACAATTCTTCAAGGGTTGGTCCTTACGTAGCTAAAACCAGCTCCATCTATGACCGAGATAGGCATGTCAGCAGGCAAGTGGAAACCCCAAGGTTTGGAGATATACATTTGAAAAAGAGAGTGAAACGGTTCCATGAGGATGAAATGTGCTCAATAGCCACAGACCATCCATGGCTGGTAAAGGCAGAGGCAGCGTAGGAAAACCAGAGAGGAGGGGAAGTCTCCTGGGAGCAGACATGGCTAAAACCATTAAAAGAAGCCTTCCAAGGCTACAACATTTGGTCGCAGAATCCACTGGCTAATTTCTAAACATTGTCCTGTGTCTTCTGGCGGTTTGCTGTGTTGGCTCTTCTGTATTACGGCTCCCACCACAAGTAACATCAGAGTATCAATGCAAGAGAAAGGTGGGATGTGAATATTTTAAATGAATGAAATAAATAAATCATGTGTTGTAGCAGCTGGCTGTCTAGCAGAAGTGAGAAAACCTCTGGTTTCTTTGAATCATCCTAGAGCAGTTTCCCGTCAGTCCACCAGGTGTCCTCCAGATGCGTTGAGCTGAGGTTCTCTCCTTCTTGGAGAAACACCTTCATATTCACAAATTGCTTGACCTTTTTTTTTGTGGCAAAGGCCAAGCCTGGACGATGAAATATTTGGTCCGGGGATATTTTTACCGCAAACATTAAATGCAAAGGTAAGCCTCCATTCCCATCCTGTGCCACCAATTAAAATGGGTGCAGCCTTGGAAACCGATGCTGTTACATCATCAGAGATAGTCTCCTGGCCATCCTATCTTGCTACAACAATTATAAGCACCTTTTCCCGCTTGCTGCATTCACACGGTTCGGAGGAGCCAGTGATAAACATTGACTGAACATCAAGAGTACAATAGGAGAATATAAGCTTCTGACGATACGTTGGCCTTTGTTCATAATGGTCCTCATGTGCTTTGTGCTACATGACAACCCAGCATGCATGCAAATGCTCTTAAATGCTGGAGCATTATGATACAGGTCCCTCCCTTCCTCACTGCCACAGTCTCAACTCTGAGATTTTGGAGCAGGGAAGAAGACTGGAAATAACAGAATGACAGCTTGCCCTAATAATATTTCCAAAATTCATGTGCCATGAAATGGTGACCTGTTTTACAGGTAGAGAATACTCAGTAGTTGTTTCCAATTCCCTTCCTCTGGGGGGTGGCCTGGGACTGTGCAGCCTGCCCAAGGCTACATAGGCTGGCTCCACTCATAGGAGGCACATTAGGGAATCAAACTCCCAGTCTGTACCTAAATCACAGAGCTATCCATCCAGCTCCGAAATTCTTACCCAGAGGAAAAAAAGGGCGGTAATGGACATTGAATATCCTGCAGGACATGAAGCTTGCCTCGGGCATATTTACTATTTGTCAAGATTTGTCTGTTACAAAACCACAGATGAGCACCAAATAAAGTGACAGGATCTTGTAAGCCAAACATGGGCCACCAAAATACAAGACTGTGCTGGAGCAAAAAGTAGAAGAGCCAGGACTGGATCATTCTGGTTTTGCCACTTTCCCTCTATTCTGATTGGTCAGAGCTGCACAGGAGCAGCCTTTTTATAGGACATTGATCTCAGCACAGCCCAGTGGGAGGCTGGTTCCTGTTAGCTACGTAGCTAACCAACCAGAATGAAGAGTGCAGACTACAGCAGTGACAGAGCAAGAGGGGGAAATGAGGAAATAGAATTGCCCTGCTGTTGAGGGCAGCATGCAGGTTTGGAATGACAGCCATGGACAAGCAGAAGCTGGAGTTAGACCACTTGCCCATCTCTGTCCAAGAGGACCTCACCACAAATCAGGAGACAGGGGATGGGGGGGGACAGGACTCTAGAGGTTTTGTCTAAGAACCAAATCCCATGGCCCTGGGCCCTCCAAAATCAGGGGAATATTTTTTCCGAAGAGGGTTCATTCCAGAATTGAGATCAAAGTTTTATCTCAAAGGCTTTAGTGGTCAACTGTAAGCATAAAGAATCCTGCATCAGAGTTATGGCTGGAGAGGAAGAGACTGCAAAACACAGACAGTTGGGACCTGGATCGCTAGTGGTGCTTTAGGAAGAACGTTGCTGCCATGTTGAAGGCATCACGCCCATTGTCACAGGGCTAAAATGTCACTGGTGCAGCAACAGTCTTAGACCTGCTGCACGGATCTTGATCTTCTGGATAGACCTTCTGCTCGGTGCTGAGCTCCAGCCGTGCTGGACAGCTCCATGTGTGTCTTGGAAAAAGCAAGTGGAGACTCTTTGGAATTGGCTTGCTAGGGATCCGAAGCGTTTGACATGGACCGAGAGAACGGAATCTTGAGATGTTTCACGTGCTGTACATCCATCATTTTAAATGGTGCCATACTTTGATGCCCATAAAGAAATACAGAAGATTTTGATTTTTTTTTCCTGCTTCTGTCCACCATCTCTCAATTTTCTACTGCCTAGCTGTTCTAGAGGATGGAAAAGCATGCCATTTCTTTTTCAACTTTGCATGGTCTTAATAAAGTTCCAGGTGAAGAAGTATTTTAAGTGGTGCCCTTAAATTAATCCTATTCATTGGTTGAGTTCAATTGCATGTTTGAATCAACACCACTGTGAGCTGCTTAGTGCCTCCCCTCCAGGGGAAAGGGTGTAGTATAATTCCAATCCACAAACTGTAGATTTTCTATTTTGCTCTGGCACGTAGAAGCACACCTTCTTTTTTTAAAGGTCTTAAATTGCAGCAAATGTTGGCATGTATTGGAATCCACCCAAATGATTTACAAATGTATATATGTAGCAAAATAAAGTATTTTATTCTTTTTACTGAAGGTTTACAGTTGCAGAAAGAGAACGTTTCCCCACCCCCACCCCTCTTTCCAACACAAACATGTTTTTCAGCTGCTCAAGTAATTAAGGTTGACATGCTGGGGAAGTGAATAAAGGCTGCTGAGACGTTCTTAGGAATTTCTTGAACAGGCGAGGCACAACACTTCTGCAAACAGAAAACACAAAGTGGACAGAAAGCGGGCCCTACCCAGCACGGTTTCCAAAAGCACACCAAAAGGGGGTCATTTTTTCTTCTGAAGTTGTCTTGCTAGCATGTCAGCCTGGTAAAACCAACACAGGAACACACCGTCAGTCCACCCAAGGTTGGAGTGGTTTACAACAGATAAAACAACCGTTTCTTTTTTTAAAATATGTATAAATATCATATTTGTAAAATGATTGAACCTACACGAAGATTTTGAAAATCGAGTTTAAAAGCAATTCAGAAACATCTAAAAACCTGGACGTTAAAAACCAGTATTCCCGAGATAACCTAACTGCTTAAAGGCTGGTCTGAAGAGGAAGGTATTTGCACGAAGGTGGAAGGGTAAAAGGGATGGGGGTCCAACTTAGCTTCCGAGGCCATGAGTCCCAAGCCTGGGAGCGGCCACCCAGAAGGCCCCGTCTCGTGTCCTCACTAAGCGAGCTTGGGAACGTGGAGGAACTGAGAGAAGGGCCTCCCCAGAAGATCTTAAGAGCCAAGAAGGCTCCTAAGGGGGGGCGATAAACATACTCATTTCCAACGCTTTATTTCTTGGGACGCAGTAGGAGCTGACTTCAACCTGGTTGGACTGAAACTCCCCTCATCTACTGCTGACACAGGCTCCTAAGGGGGAGGCGATAAACATACTCATTTCCAACGCTTTATTTCTTGGGACGCAGTAGGAGCTGACTTCAACCTGGTTGGACTGAAACTCCCCTCATCTACTGCTGACACAGCTATTGGCCATGCTAGCTGGGGACGATGGGAATTGTAACCCAACCCTTCTGAAGTAGGCAGAGTCCCACAGGCACAGCCGGGCTTGACTGCTTTTAGAGGATCTGCAGCTGAAGGCATGAGCTGATTCTGTTGTCCTGTCTGGGACATCCCCGGACATTTTGCTGCCTGAGGCACAGTCGCAAACCGAGGGGGGGGGCGGGAGAGGCAGGTCAAAGCACACAGCATCCCAAATCAGCCAAACTGGTGCATGGGTAAAAACCACTTGTGAGTATTTTCCATCTCTAGTGGCCTAAATCCAGCATTAACGATGTAAATAATTAAGGATTTGCCACTTTTCCAGGGCCGCTAACATCTCTTCTCTCAGGCAGCTGCTTTACTCTGCCCAACGGTAAGTGTGCCAGTCCTCATCTTCTCACAGAAAAGAGGTCAAGTGACAGGCATGGCTAGGAAAAGTTACTTTTGGGGATATCAACATCCAGAATCCCCCCATAAGCTTGATAGACTAATGGGGCTGGTGTATTCAGAAATCTCTTTGAACCTTAGACCTCAGGGGACAAACTACAGCAGAGAGACATGACCTGCGTGCTTTGTGCATGGATGTCCCAGAAATGACTTTTAAAAAAAATACTGCTTAGTTGGGAGTAAATCTCTGCCTGGAAGCTTCTCACCAGAACTTTTCTTGCTTTCCCACATGGCTGTCATGTTGTTTCCGCAGAGCAGAGGCTGGCTGCCCCATAGGGGAAAAAAAGGCACCACCTTGTACTCTGACCCCAAAGAGTCCTCCTCCTTCTGATCCATGAGCTGTCCCAGCTTGTGGGAATTTCCAAAGCTCCCGTGGAAAAACAATCTTCCTGAGCAACCCGCCCACTGCCTTGCCACGAGCAGCGCTCGGCTCCCCTGTATGAGAATGCTATCAGGAGGGCATGAAGTCCACCCCAGCTTGGGGGGGGCACAGCCTCTGAATATGGAGGTGCAGGAGAGTGGCCCTCAAAACCCCACCACCACTTGTGTAACCCACATTTAGGGTGATACTGGCTGCCTTTCCTGAACCAAATCTAAAAGTGGTGGTCTAAACCACAAGAAGATCCAGGTTTTCTGACCTCTCTCTCTCTCTCTTTTGCTTGTGGTGAGTTTTTCGGGCTCTTTGGCCATGTTCTGAAGGTTGTTCTTCCTAGTGTTTCACCAGTCTCTGTGGCCGGCATCTTCAGAGGACAGCATTCTGTGCTCTGGTGTAGTTTGTTTGGGAGTTGAGTGTTTATGGCTGTGAGATCAGCTTTTGTCCTTTTCAAGAGATGGGTGATTAGTGTGTCTTGCTGTGGGTTCGTCTGAAGATGCCGGCCAGAGAGACTGGTGAAACGTTGGAAAGAACAACCTTCAGAACACGGCCAAAGAGCCCGAAAAACCCACAACAACCATCAGATCCCGGCCGTGAGAGCCTTCAAGAATACATTCTCTCTCTCTCTCTTTCTTTCTTCCGGAGAGGTTCTGAACCTGCCTGGTTGGTTGCTCCGCATTGCTTACCAGGAGAGTCTTCACCATTTTATCTCTTGGGATCTTCACGGAACTGCATTCTTCCCCATCGCACAGTTTAATGTCTTCAGAGACCTGTAATCAGAGGAGAAAGGAGAGATTTAGGTATCCGTGGCTCCGTGGCTTTGGGCAAATGCTATTGTTCTTGTGAAGGCCCCAGCCAGCAACTTCATTGGATTCAGGGGATTCTGGGAGCGATCGTCCAAAAAAAGTTGACTCTCCTCGGCGCTGAGATTGGAGTGGTTCCCATATGTGGGATACAGAAAATTGCACTGCGGAAAGAAAACTCAGTATGCCCCATGGGCATTTCCTACCTAGGATGGCTGTTGATGCATCACCAGTAAAAAAGGGAGAAATGCACCACCGAAAAAAAAGAGGATTTACTTATTCACCTGTCTAATTTATAGAGCACTCAAGGGGGCTCACGGTATTAAAAAGAAGAAGAATTAAACCTGCAATAAATTATACATTAGAAACAATTAAACTATAATAGAAACTGAAAGACACTGAATGATTAAAAATATTTAAAACTTTAAAACAAATTTAACTTTAAAAAGAAATAGCATTCAGGGGCTCAGGCTATTAAAAGTCTGCCTGAAACAATTAAACTATAATAGAAACGGAAAAACACTGAATGATTAAAAATATTTAAAAATTTAAAACAAACTTAACTTTAAAAAGAAATAGCATTCAGGGGCTCGGGCTATTAAAAGTCTGCCTGAAGAGGTCTCCATCAGCTGTGTGGGGGCTGGCAATGGGACTGAGAGAAGGGCCTCCTTGGATGCTCTTAAATGCCCAGAAGGCGCATATGGGGAGATACAGTCCTTCAGGTAGCCCGGGCTCCAGCTGTAGAGCGCTTTATAGGTAATGATGACCAGCACTTTGAATTGGGCCCAGAAACGGGCCGATAGGCAGTGCAGTCATGATGGCAGAGACGTTATAGGCTCCCTATAACCCCCTATCGATCTGCGCATGGAAAGGATGCTCTTAAATGCCCAGAAGGCGCATATGGGGAGATACAGTCCTTCAGGTAGCCCGGGCTCCAGCTGTAGAGCGCTTTATAGGTAATGATGACCAGCACTTTGAATTGGGCCCAGAAACGGGCCGATAGGCAGTGCAGTCATGATGGCAGAGACGTTATAGGCTCCCTATAACCCCCTATCGATCTGCGCATGGAAATGTCCCCATGCAGATGCAAGCTTAGCCATAAATGGTTGTTTTCAGAGCACAGCGTGGAAAGTTGGCTCTTTTGGGAACAGCGCCAGAAACTTGCAACCACTGAAAAAGGAACGTTTCCATGAGACAAGTGATGCCGGGGTGAAGACCAGCATCTGCTTACCTCGGTACTCCGGGTTGAATCGACCTCCCGTTTCCCTCCAGGGTACCAGCCGTGGGACCAATGCTGAGCTGCCGACCGATGCAGGCTCACCGTCAGCACCAGGCAGAGGAAAAGCAGGAGGGACTTTTGGCACCCCATGGCGACGTCTGCAACCCTCTTGCCTGTCTCAATGAAACCTGAAAGGAAGGAAAGGAAGGACTCAAGGGTTGGAAGCCTGAGGACTCCTTTTCTAGTCTGTGGATCGATGTGTCAGATTAGGAGCAACGGGTTAGAAGGAGGACTCTCTCTTTGTAGATTTTCCTGGCTGCTGGAGACAGCTCAGTGGTTTAGGTCTCTGGCTGAAGGGACCCAAGAGTAAGAAGTCCGAGGACTCCTTTTCTAATCTGTGGATCGATGTGTCGGATTAGGAGCACCAGTTTAGAAGGAGGGCTCTTTCTTCGTAGATTTTCCTGGCTGCCGGAGCTCAGTGGTTGAGGTCTCTGGCTGTGGAGCCAGAGGTTGGGGGTTCAATTCTCCACCGTGCCTCCTGAGACGTGGAGCCAGCCTGGGGGGCCTTGGGCCAGCTGCACAGTCCCAGGGTGCCCCCTAGTGGAAGGGAAGGGTAAAAACCACTTGTGAATATTTTCTACCTAGAAAACTCTGGAAAGGGTGTCTATACATCAGAACTGACTTGATAGTATACGAAGCAGCTGATTGCCACTCAGAAGGAGCTGGTACCGTCCCTAGCTTTGATAATACAGCAGAACTGACTTGATGGCATACGATTCCCAGAGTTCAGAGCTTGCCAATCTACATGTTAAGTTGAAGCAGCTGGTTGCCACTCATAAGGAGCTGGTACCGTCCCTAGCTTTGATATACACCATCTTGATATCTGTGAAGATTCTCAGTTGTCCGGGCGAGGTTATCTGGAAGCTGAGTCATGGGAACTGGACTTTGAAACGTTTTGCTATGCATCCAAGCAGCTTCTTCAGTCTGAGGAGCGCTGGTAGGAGACCCCCGACTGTAACCAACGTGGAGGATCCATCAGGGGTCTCCTACCAACACTCCTCAGACTGAAGAAGCTGCTCGGATGCATAGCAAAACATTTCAACCTAACCAGAAAGAGGTTCAGTGGCCACAACTCAACGTCCAGATTACCATCTTGATATTTCGATGTTTTATGAGGGCAACTGACTTTCTTAAGCGTTTTGGCTTTCATTTTATTCACTGCCTTTGACTCTTGTCGTGAAGGGAACCCACCGCCTCTGTGACTTGGATGGTCTGCGGACGAGACAGACACCATTCCTGCATTTCACCCTCTTCATTGTTCTTCTCTGTGATGCATTTTAAAGATAGACAGGAAGGAAAACGTTATTAGTGATATAAAAGTAGGAGCAGGGGTGAGAAAACTGGACAGTGAATAAAGCTGGTAAAGGTACAGGTTCCCCTTGACAATTTTTGTCCAGTCGTGTTCGACTCTAGGGGGCGGTGCTCATCCCCGTCTCCAAGCCACAGAGCCAGCATTTTGTCCGAAGACAATCTTTCCGTGGTCACATGGCCAGTGCGACTTAGACACGGAAAGCTGTTACCTTCCCACCGAGGTGGTCCCTATTTATCTACTCGCATTTACATGCTTTCGAATAGCTAGGTTGGCAGGAGCTGGGACAAGTGACGGGCGCTCACTCCATCACCTGGATTTGATCTTACGACTGCTGGTATTCTGACCCTGCAGCACAGAGGCTTCTGCGGTTTAGCCTGCAGCGCCACCACGTTCCTGGCTCAGCTAATAAAGCTGAGGGGAGCGAGCACAAATGGATTCCTTTGAAATGTGGGGCTGGAGGAGAACTTTGCAGGTGCCCTGGACTACCAGAAAGACAGACAAGGGGGTCCTAAATCAAATCAAGCCTGAACTATCTCTGGAGGTAAAAATGTTGAAACGGAGGCTGTCCTCTTTTATGAGGATTCTCTGGAAAAGACAAGAACGCTGAGAAAGGTGGATGGCGGTAGGATAAGCGGAACACCAAATACAAGATGAACTGACTCCCTAAAGGAACCACAGGCTTCAGTCTGCAGGAGCTGAGCAGGGCTGTTAACGAGAGGATTTTTTGGAAATCACTCATTCATAGGGTTGCCATCGGTCGAGGATGATGCGATGATACGTAACAAGAACAAAAGTAGAGAGAGAGAGAGTCCAACCCCAACCTGGTTACCTGCAGATATATTGGGACTAAACTCCCATAACTCTTATTTCTGGGGAGGATGGGGCTTGTAGTTGAACACACCTTTGAAGCACCAAGCGGTGGAAGCCCTGTGGTCAGTTGGGTTTTTCCCGGGGAGAGAAGTCCAGACTCCCTGCTCAGTGGCAAAAATTACTGGATGAATCTGGGCCAGTAGTTCAATTGGCTTCTGAGTGATGGGACTTGTAGTCCAGCAATACCTCAGTAGCCACAAGTTCCTCAGTGCCTATTCTAAAGGCTGCTTCCAGGGCTGGCTGCAGTTTTTATGAATCAGTGACTGAGCAGTCAGAACAAGTGACCTCAAAGACTTTTACAGATACATTTTATTGCTTACATATTCTCCTGCTTCTCCCTTCCTTCCTCCTGTTCTCCAGCTGTATGGTCCTTAGGGCAGGGACCTGACCTCTCAGCTGAAGCCCAGTAATGATAGTATCAAAAAGAAGCAAACCAACAACAGGTATTTCGTGTGCAGTTAAAAGAGCTGTTTTGGATTTTTAAAAAAAGTCACAGCTCACATCATCTGCCTGATCAGGATCCTGGAAGCAGAAAAAAGGCATTCCCCCTATTTTCAAACATTGTGCAGAGATGACTTTCGAGGTAGGGAAGTGTGATTTCCTCAAGTCTCACTGAGCAGCGTCTGGAAATAATTCATAGAGGTGAGCAAAGAACCACAAGGGGAACACCACCACGGCTAACCCAACGGGTTAGGGAAGAAGCTACCCAAATATTTTCCAGCCAAACTTTGTTCGACAGAACGTGCAGGGCGCTTAATCAGTGCAAACGAGAGCGGATCTGTTTGCCAACATCATCTGGTTCATGGATCTGACACAGCCCAGTAGAAATATAATCACATAAAACAGGATTTGCAACGAGATGGCACCCGCCCTCCAAAATAATTCCACAGAATGCTCTCCTCCTTGATAACAAAGTCATCCATGACCTGCAAGAGAAGGTGAACAAACAGAGTACTCACCTTGGCTAGGGGGTTCCTCCTTTGCCTCTCTCCCGAAATGCCACTGATGCTCAAAACGGTTTGAGCTGGGTATTTATGCTGCTCCTGAGTTGCTCCAGGGCAAGCTGCCATGAACTCCATTGGCCAAGGCTGTATGCTGACGTCTACTGCATCATTCTCTACGGTAAGAAATATCAGGCACCCCGGGCGCCTCCTCTAAACCTCCCTCCCAACAAGCTGCTAATACCTTTCCAGGTATCTGTCTTCTAACCCTTTTCCTCGGCAGTAAAAATGCCAGGATTCTTCCATTAAAAAGTTCCATAACATTGGGGTATGACATTGCCCCAAAGCATTCCAGGGTGGCTTTGGAACTGAACGTATGGGATATTTCTCCCAGACCCTTAATAAATCAAAGATTCTGCTGGCCCTCCATCCAGGTCATTGCACAGGTCATTATTAAATGCCCACTTGGAGGAGAACATCATTTCTCACTTAGGTTTTTGTTTATATTTTCCCATCTTGATTAATACTTTATTGTCGATTTAATTGTTGTTTTAACTGTTTTATGAATAATTTTATTGTAAGCCGCCATTGCACTGGCCATGTGACCACGGAAGATTGCCTTCGGACAAATGCTGGCTCTGTGGCTTGGAAACGGGGATGAGCACCGCCCCCTAGAGTCGAACACGACTGGACAAAAATTGTCAAGGGAACCTTTACCTTTACCTTTTACCACCCTGAGTAGACATTGTGCTCCTGTGATATTGTCTGTCTGTCTGTCTGTCTGTCTGTCTGTCTGTCTGTCTGTCTGTCTGTCTGTCTATCTATCTATCTATCTATCTATCTATCTATCTATCTATCTATCTATCTATCTATCAAGAGTTAGAATACAGAGACTACATGGAAAACATGCCTGCACAACTCTCAGATAAAGGGACAGGGGTGTTTGGTGGCATTTCACATCTAGTAATGATTTATGATGCCTGTTTGATATTCAGTTTTTTGAAGCATGGTTCTGTAAACAGTGTTTATATTTATTTATTTATTTTTACTTATTTATTAGATTTCTATCCTGCCCTTTTAGACAAAGTCTAGTCTGGGCGGGTTCCATTAAACATTGCAAACTAAAACAGTTAAAAACAGTTAAAAACAATTCAAAAGAATAATGCTTAATAATGCTCAAGATGGGAAAACAGAAAATTATCATAAAAATAAAGTCAAGTATGGACAGGAGGGAAGGCCTGCCTAAAGAGCCAAGTTTTTATTTGGCTCTTAAAAACACCCAGCGAGGGAGCCAGTTAAAAATTATAAAAGGAAACAACAGAGGAACATGTGGCAATGTAGAGAATGGCAGACTTTTCCTGAAAAGGTGGGTCTGGTTAATTGAAAAGGAAAATAATAGTAGACAGCAACCTAATTATTACATTTGGTAATGACATAAGAAGCCTTGGCTAATATTTAATCCATTGAGATGGGTGTCCAGCATGTGTATCTATTTTATTACTGCTGTTTCCCTCTGGATTCTTGTTCTGTAGAATCTCCCAGGTTGTGGAAGCTGCAGTTCTAAAGTATTTTCCCCAACACTGTAGTAAAAATGCGAATGGAGTAACTGCTGTTTATCTTCATGTGATCACACTGATTATTGACTCTTTACATTTGAATGCAAAACAGACAGCAGTTTGGCCAGTGGCTTTTTACTTAATTTTCTCTTTGCTTTTCTGATGTCTTTACTCCCTGAGTGGTAAAGATCACTTTATTTTGTGGGGGTCTAAGACAGTGAAACTCATTCTATCTCCTCTGTGTCCACCCCATTCACCGTAACTCCATGTAGTTTATTTTTCTTTAAAAATCGTCTTTCTCCTTATCTTTCAGTGAAATACTCAGACCATTACATATTTGCCTTTCCGGTACAGTGGACCCTTGACTTACAGACGGCTCGACTTACAGACTTTTTGAGTTACAGACTTCTCTGGCTGCAAAATTTAG